TCTATTTGGGTCCAACGTTGGGACGAATTAGGGGGTCGCCATGTTAAAAGATGTTTTTCCTTATGCTTAAAGTTAGTATTTGCAAGGAACAGGCGGTTATCTGAGCATAGCTGCAACAGACGGTCGCCATTATCTGTTCTTTGAGCCACGACACCATAAGATCCACCTAGGTGTCTTTCCTTATCGCTTAGTTTACCTACTTGAGCATTAAAGTCACCGGCCACTATTACTACATCCGAGCGCTAGCTTTTCGGAGAAGGTCCGAAAGCTTTCTGTAAAACTCATCTTTTACATCATCTGAGCTGCAGTCAGTGGGAGAATAGGCAGAGACGACGAAGAGGCAACGACGAGTGTCCCTATCTTTCCGGATTCTTACTGTTCCGTTCAGTCGGACAGCGCACAAACGACTGTCTACTGGGATCCACTCTAAGAGAGCTAGTTCTGCCCTAGGACTCAATGCTATACCTACGCCGGCGAGGCCACGGGAAGCAGAATCAGGGCTTCCAGATACACGAAGCGTAAATCGAGTCGGTTCTTTATTTTGGCATGGTGAGGTCAAATGAATGACGCTACTTGGATCCTGTATGCGCGTTTCGGAGACGCAGCACACATCGATGGCGCGAGATTCTAAAGTTTTAGCTAAGGAAGCCTGCTGTCCTATTTGGCAAAGTGTTCGTACGTTAAAAGCTCCTACGTGTAGTTTAGAGCGTGGTTTCAGGAGACCAGGAATGGCGTTCCACGTACTCGAATCGTTTGCCCTAGCGGTGCGAGGTGATAAAGAGACGTGAGGAGGGTTAGTCGGGAAGATAAGAGAGGTATTAGGAGGTGTAGGAAGGATTTGAATGTGACCACCTTGGTCTCTTGTGCTGTTACGGGTATGAGGGCTGATGTCACTTCCCGGCTGCCCACACCGTGGAAGGGTATTTCTTGAGGAACCTGAAAAGGAAATTGGATTAGTGTTGGTCTTGACGACCTGGGAGCGTGACCGCAGAGCCCAAGGGACAACTGCTTGAGGCCGGTCGCGCACGGCCTTTTTGTGGAAGGTTTTTGACGTGTTAGCTCCGTTCTTCAAAGGGCCTTACCGCCGGAGACGGAAATCCGTGAGGTAAGGTGAGGTGTGACATTTTTAGGGTCGACCTTTTCTAACCCCACCCCTCCTTGTGGGAAGGCAGCATCGCTGTCATGCTGGTTGTCCGAGGGAAACACCTTACTGCTGTCACACCTCTCTACAGTCAGCAGTACGACTTCGCCCTCAGACCTTGAGTTGCTGCTTTTAGTCTTACCGTTCGCCAATCGACCTGCCTGGCATGGTAGAACCTGCAGGAACATATGTTCCAGCCAATATAGCTCGGTTGGGTCATCACGATAGGCAAGCCCGACCACCGCGTCAAGGTAGCAGCTTCGATCGGGTAGCAGCTTCGATCGGGAACAAGTACGGAGCTAACACAAAAATCACCCATAAAAAGGTCGTGTGTGACCGACCTCAAGCAGTTGTCCCTTGGGCACTGCGGTCACGCTCCCAGGTCGTTAAGACCAACACTAATCCAATTTCCCTTTTCAGGTACCTCCAGAACAACCCTTCGACGGTGTGAGCAACCGGGAAGTGATAACCGCCCTCATACCTCTAACAGCACTCAAGATCACTGTATTCATAATCAACCTTCTTCTTCAATTCCTATTATTCCTCCTACATCGACTTTCAACCCTAAACTTCCTCCTTCGGCTTCCTCCTCAAGTGTCACCATAGCCAACGATTCTTGTGCTCAAAACCCTGTCCCAGGTCTACTGAAACCTCGCTCCAAACTACACATTGGAGCCTTCAACGTACGCACCCTATGTCAAATCGGTCAGCAGGCTTCCTTGGCTAAAACCCTAGAATCTCGTACCATTGATGTATGCTGTGTCTCCGAAACACGCATACAGGATTCCAGTGTGGTCATTCACTTGACCTCACCTCGGCAAAACAGAGAGCCAACGAGATACACCCTCCGTGTATCTGGTGACGCGATGGCTAGTTCTCGTGGACTGGCAGGTGTAGGCATAGTACTAAGCATGAGGGCGGAACAAGCACTGCTAGAGTGGATCCCCGTCAACAGTCGTCTATGTGCTGTTCGGCTACACGGCTCCGTAAGAACTCGGAAGGATAGGGACACACGTCGTTGCCTTTTCGTCGTTTCTGCCTACGCTCCCACTGACTGCAGCTCAGATGAAGTGAAAGATGAATTTTGCAGAAAGCTGTCCGGACTTCTTCAGAAAGCTAAACGCTCAGACATAGTACTCGTAGGGGGTGACTTTAATGCTCAGATAGGTAGTTTAAACCAAACAGAAAGGCATTTAGGTGGATATTTTAGTATTCCGGCACAGCGAACAGATAATGGTGATCGTCTGCTGCAACTGTGCTCAGACAATCGTTTATTTTTAGCAAACACAAATTTTAAGCATAAGGAGAGACATCGTCTAACATGGCGACCCCCTACACCAAACCAACGGTGGACTCAAATAGACCATATTGCCATCAGTCATCGTTGGAGAGGGTCGGTAGAAGATTGTCGCTCATTCTGGAGTAGCTGCTTGGACTCCGACCACGCCCTAATACGGGCACGCATCTGCTTGCGCCTCACCGGACGCAAAAAAGCCACATTAAAAAGACCCATTAGAACTGAGTTGAGTAACGAGAAAACCAAAAATAGGTTCCAAGAACAACTGAGTTCACACTTAGGTAGTTCTGAAGACGAGGCTGACCCAGATGTTGCTTGGAAAGACATACAAACAGCTGTGGAAGCAGCAGTGACATCTATTAGCGACTTAAACCACAGAGTTACAAAGAACCAGTGGATTTCTTCAAAGTCTATCACACTGATGGATTCTCGCAAACACGTCCCATCAGGTTCTAAACATGATGAAGAGAGTAAACAAATCAGATCTAGGTTAAGAAAAAGTCTAAGGAACGGCCGTGAGCAGTGGTGGGCAATGAAAGCAAAAGAGATGGAAAAGGCGGCGACTATAGGGAACAAAAAAAAAAAAAAAAAAAAAAAAAAAAAAAAAAAAAAAAAAAAAACAAGTGTAAGTCAGACTATTTCGGAAAAAGGCGATACTCTCATCTGCTCTCAGTTCAGGCGTTTAGAACGATGGACGGAATGTGTTAGAGAACAGTTCAACTGGCCTTCAGCTACCCTACAACTACCCTCCATTCCCAGACAATGTGAATGGAACATTGAAGTAGGTCCCCCAACTCTTGCTGAAGTTCAAAAGGCCATAGTTAATCTGAAACGAGGGAGGGCAGCTGGTCCAGATGGACTGGCTCCAGAAGTCTTTAAGGATGGTGGTCCAATTTTAGCGATTAGGTTGACTAATATTTCAGCTAAGATCTGGGAGTCAGACGTTATCCCATCTAACTGGTCACAATCACTTATCGTCCCAATATATAAGAAAGGGTCAAAATCATCCTGTGACAACCACAGAGGGATTAGTTTAACTAATATAATATCTAAAATACTAGCCTCGATAATTATCAGACGCCTAACTAAGACTCGTGAACTGCAAACACGAGAGAATCAAGCTGGCTTTAGACCTGGTCGTGGCTGCATCGACCACATATTCACCATTCGTCAGGTTCTAGAACACAGGCATACTTATCGGCGTCCGACAATGGTGGTCTTTCTCGACTTAAAAGCAGCATTTGACTCGGTAGACCGCGAGATTCTGTAACAGTGTCTGTCATTAAAAGGCGTACCTCAGAAGTACATAAACCTTGTGAAGGCTCTTTAATCGAACACTACCAATCGAGTCAGAGCTTATGGCGAACTGTCATCTACCTTTGCAACCTCAAGTGGTGTCCGTCAAGGATGTCCACTTTCCCCATTTTTGTTTAACTTCATCATAGATCTACTGATGGGAATAACTTTCTCGTCGACTGAATTCTCGAGTATTGATCTCCATCCAGGAGGTCCACTTATCGACTTAGAGTACGCAGATGACATAGTCCTGTTTGGTGAAGACGCTGACAAAATGCAGAGTCTTCTGGTAGCACTGAGCAACAATGCCAGGATGTTTGGAATGCGCTTCTCTCTCTCTAAATGCAAGTTGTTGCTTCAGGACTGGTCTGCGTCAACACCTGAACTAAGGATAGGGAGTGAAGTAGTCGAACGTGTCGACAACTTCACTTATCTTGGAAGTCTGATCAGCCCAAATGGGTTGGTGTCTGACGAAATCTCAGCACGGATTCGAAAAGCTCGCTTGGCTTTTGCCAACTTACGTCACCTATGGCGCAGGCGAAATATCCGTCTAGCAATAAAAGGACGAGTATACTGCGCGGCAGTCCGTTCTGTTTTAATTTACGGCAGCGAAACATGGCCATTAAGAGTAGAAGACACTCGTAAGCTACTAGTATTTGACCACAGATGCCTTAGAAATATTGCTAGGGTCTGCTGGGATCACCGGGTAAGTAATAGTGAGGTTAGACGCAGGGTATTAGAGAATGATGGTAAATCAGTTGATGAGGTTATGAATCTTCATCGACTGAGATGGTTGGGCCACGTGTTACGTATGCCTAAACATCGATTACCACGACGTGCAATGCTATCCGGTATTGGAGATGGTTGGAAGAAAGTTAGGGGCGGCCAAAGCAAAACGTGGCATCAGTGCTTAAAGTCACTAACTTGTAGTCTGAGCCATGTCGGTAGATGCAGACTACTTGGTTGGGGTCCGCGTGACTATCGTAACCAATGGTTGGAGACTCTTGGTGACATGGCTCAGAATCGATCACAATGGCGTAGGTGTATACACTCTTTGTCTTCCCTTAAACTAAAAGATTAAAATCACTTCATATCTTTCTTTCTACAAACCAATTCTTTCTTCTTGTATTATATCTCTATATGCAATCTTTCATTTATATATTACCACCTTTGACATAACCACTGCTATGATTCCGGTGTTCATCTTGTTGTGCTGATGCGGTATGGCAACCTGGACCGATGCACATATGTGCCTGGTCCTAAGTTGTAGCTGACTGACTGACTGACTATATATGATCAAATGAACAGTATTTAAGGAAAATGTAGGGAGAAAATTTTGTATCCTGTTATATGGCGAACTAATTTTCATAATTTTGTTTCAAGCATTCGTTTTATCCTATCGAAATAGACGAGAATAAACTAACATTGGTTACCAAACATAAGTTTTGATCATATTTGTAAAAGCTCGTGACTCATTATAGTGAAATAATTAGATTTATTACCTCTATCTGAGAACACTACTAAAACTACTTTCATTACATTTCTTTTTCATTTATTATTAATTTTCAGTATTATTCCCCTTAATTTCTGTTTACTTCTGTATACTGTCAAGACAAGTTAACCTGAAGAGAAGCAGCATTGGAGTTTGATGCCTGTATCAAGTGGATATGAATGGTACCTGTGCGGTATCACAGCCCTCACACGAAGCGATGATTACTACTGGCTTCATTGTTATTGTGTTTCATATGTATCTAGTGCCCCCTTTTACAATGTGTGTGTGTTCAAATAAATAAATAAATCAAATATGAGGATTAGTGATACTACCCGATTGCCCAAACCAGCAAATTAGTGGCTGAAAGTCGATTGTTTTAACCATTGGGTCGCCGCTTCGCTTGAGTCTTTTAGACAGAAACTTATCATTTAGTGTCATAAAGGGAACCAGAGTAAATACTATAGTCTCAAATGATATGGTTGAAAATCAATCTCATTAGCCTATGTTTAGTCATCTTGCATCATCATCTAGCTCTTAAAATACCCATTTCTTGATTTCATTTATTCTCTCCGGTTTTCAGCGTTCCTCTACTGTCAGTACTATTTTCACTATCTTACTTTTCTTTCTGGTTTCTTCATTGTGTTTAGTGTGGCCTGTGATGAGAAACCGTGTATATTTGTTTTCTGGTCTCAATAGATTTTATCTGTCTATCAATTCATACTTGAATTTTGTTCCGCCGGTATGGTTTGATGTCTGTTGTTGGTCATTAACAAAGATATAGAACAAAAATGTAACTTATTCTGATAAATATGGGTTTATTTGCCGAGTTAAATGTAGAGTCTATTGTGTTGTTAATCGACTATCCAGACTGAAGTAAGTAAGGTGTGTTTAATCCTTTCATTTGTTCCACCTAGTTAAGTGTCATAATCAGTTAACAATCTAACAGTTGTTACTGTATTTACTCAGACTTTTCGGTTCTTGTTCGGTGTTAGAGAGATTCATTATTATAGCTATCGAGTTGTTGACCCGATTCCAGTTATGGCACCATACATTTTTCTCCATAGAATTGATATTTTGCATGATATGAACTTTTTACAGTTACAGAATTGGAATTATCATGTTGTTCACATATGACGCTCCCTAAAATGTCATTTTCATTAGATACTTAATCTCCCACTTCATATTTGATCTATCAACGATGATACATCTGTTTATTGTACTATTTCATATTTTAGGAGCTTTTATCAGTATTCGAAAAGCCTTGTCATTTTGTTGATTCCTCAACTTCTACAGTTGATAGTGCTACCTTAACTGAACCAGACCTCCTTGGACCTTGTGAACCAGGCACAAAAGTTGTTGTAGAAGGTGTGGTATGGTTAGAAGCTACAGGTGGGTGTTCAGTGTTAGTTTTTGTGTTTCCAGTCTTGATACTTAGACGTGAATTAGTATTGCGAAATTCATTTATTCGTTGTGTTTTATTGTCCTGCTAAGAACATGGATAAACAATAAATAATGAATAAAGATTATGAAATTCTATCAACTTTAAAATTCACTGAGGAAGTAGTTAAAAGACAAGAACAGTTTTAGTCTCTTTAGTTCCCTGATAAAAATTTGTCATTGTATCGGATTATTTGGCTTTTGGCATCGTTTCGTTATCTTAGATGGAATATCTGATTGTTACGTGAACATAATAGTTAGCGAAGATTCACGGATACATAGAGTTAATGAAACCTACGAAACTAATTGATCTCAACCACGATCAACAAAACGTATTGATTTGATATTTGTGCAGTTTTTTTAGTAGCTCACTTCTATTTCACACTGCTCAAGATGACAATGAAAGTCCCATTATTAAACCACGAAAATCATAGAACCGCTGCAGCAATTTCGAAAGCATTCATCTAATCTGTAAATTGTGTTCATTATACAATAAACTTGATTTCAACATAGTTTACTGTTTATTAAATTGAGTTAGTTATTCTAATTTTCGTAGTGTTTCACTTAACTGAATTATGACATGATGAAATTATATCAATGTAATATAGTACACAAGTTTCATATCAGGACTCAGTAGCTAAGTGGATAACGCGATGGCGTTTGAAGCGAATGGTACTGAGTTCGAGTCCCTAAATGAACATCAACTCTGGGATGCAGGTACATCCAGCTGACCAATCTCAAACAGGACGAAACGCGCGTCCTGGATTCCACTGCTAGCCACTATCCATCTTTGCTTACAAGTTTCATATGGTTTAGTATCTGTGAGTTGCATCTGTTTACAACAATCTGTTCCATATAACAATCAGAATTATCACCTATCAAATTATTACGTAATGTTTGGTCAATTGAATAACAGATATAATTACTAAATGAGGGGGGCTGTATTATGTAATTTGTAATCTGTTTATTTCATGTTTATTTATTTTGGAAGTGAAATATTCTACCTTCTATTAATAGGGATGCTTGTTCTTAGTCTTCACTGGCGTGGACGAAACTATATGGGCACTTTGTTAGATTCATCAAAACAAACATTTGCACCTACTTGGTAAGTTTTAAATTATTTATCAGTTTAATTCCTGTCTTCAAATTTATGGTATAGGCACAACTTTTCTCCATTGTTATTAATTAATACTACTGAAGCTTCCTACTATAGCTACTAGCTTGTTGTCATGATTGAACTTGTCTATTGTGGTGACTTATCCGAGAAATGTTGGACCGAACATTCGTTTCCTTACGCCAGTAGCACTGAAAATTACATTGATAAAGTTGATAATTATTTATCGTGTAATAATTGTCGACTTTGATAGCTGAATTAATGTTCATAAATGTTATTTTGTCTTTTTTCGCAGCATGGATAAAGGTGTCGCTAGTGCATTGAATCTCTTACGTGGTCGAAAATCTTGGTGTGATCCACACAGAGGTTATCAAGCTCGTGGCCTTCATCATTTTCACCATCTGCGTCATCATCGTCGTGGCGGCGGCAGTACCACTGGCATATCAATGACTACTCGGTCAGCTTCGGCAGCAGCAGCCGCTGCATCACAAGACTCAAGAGAGGGGAGTGTAGATTCGAAAGACCAGTCTGTTGTTAATGATCCTTATTCAACTGAGTGTATTGACCAACCGTATGTACCTGTAGAGACAAGTTATAGCAAGAAGTCTGGGAATGTTGCATCACATGATATTCCCCAACGTGGAGCTAAAGGACGTAGACGTCGTGGCACTGGTCGAAGACCAGTTCGTCCTATTGGTGTAGTCTCTCCATCTCTTGAATGTTCTATGAACACATCTTTGCCCGAAACTAAACAAACCCTCAACGATGATGGAGATAACCAAGCAAACGTTTTGTCAGATGTTTCATCTTCAAAATCCGATTGTAAATTACCACTCAGTTGTCCATTCAATGGCTGTGAAAAGCGTTTTGCTGATATTCTTAGTATGCGTTTTCATTTCACAATGGGACATCATAACATTCAAACCGTAGAAATGAAAAATAGGAGAGAATCTCTTGCTGAGCCTGTTATTGATCAGGTTAGATGGATAAAAAGTGAAGATTTTGATAATAATCTTGAAATATCTGTTTGTGATATCTCTGCTAATTCATCTCCTCCACCAAAACTAGCAAGAGCACATTGTACCAAAGATAGAAGTAGTGACAGTAACGAAACAAGTTTAGTTTTAACAAATGGTGATGATATTGATGATAATATTGATCCACCGAAACTACATCGTGTTGTATCAATATCTGATTCTTTTTCTAATGCAAATCCACTTATTGATCCAGGTGACTCAAACTCATCGAAGTTTGATAATAATCACCAGACAACAGATGTTCTTGACGAACCTCCTACTGCTAGTCCTGCATATTCTGATATCTCTGATGACGGTACTGTATCATCTACAACTAATAATTTCCCAGTTTTAAACTTGGGAATGGCAGCAATTGATGTTCAGAATTCCAGAGAAGGAATATTGAATTCTCCATCAATTTTATCAAATCTTTCTAATCAACCACCTTTACCTCAAGGATACATTGATGTTTCCAGACGCTTAAATCTATCTCCACTTATATTGTCTTCATGTTCTACCGTTACTGGATCTAGTGAGCCGACTAAATTATATTTTCCCGCTAATTTGTTTTCTCCAACTCTAAAAGGTGTAAGCAATATCTTCTATCAAACTGCATCTCCAACTATTAAAACCATGGATAAACAGAGTGCAGAAAGTGGATTAAAACCGATCAGAAATAATAATTCTCCTACAACTTATCCTTTTCAGAAAGAATCGCCTTCCAGATCCTTGATAACCAACAATAACAATCATAATACTAGTTGTAGCAGTAATCCATCAGTATTACATGATTTATCAAGTTCTCAGTCGTCCCCTTCTAATAGTGCTCCGCTAATTCCACCATCAAATCATGATAATTCCCGACAGCTGACTTTTCTCTCCGTTTCTCCTGGATTAGTTATGACTGAGCAAAATTCACGTCCATCGTCCACAGGATCATTTGTATCAAATCCCCTTACTTTTTGTGTTTCACGAAATTCTCCAGTTCCACCACGACCCGGTAAGTTGAACTCATTTGGTCAGGTTACTCATTTTAATTAATTTAAACATTGTAGGACTACAATTTCAACTGACAAACTAATCAATCAAAAATGTTCAGTTATTTATGGCATTTATTCCTACTGGTTTTGCGATGTTGAAAGCTTTTATTTGGATGTAGCTGTTTGATCCTTAAACATACTTATTATCCGATCATAGACAACATAGGATCTGACATGAATGTAATCTGATCCAAACCAGGTCATCTCACAGTAGCAGAGTGAGAAATAAACTCAAATATAAAAAGATAAGAGTAACAACTGTGATTTCATTGGAGAGCTAAACATAAAAACATATATAGGGCTCAAAATAACATCAAAATTCATGGTAAAACATAATTAGATTCATGGTACTTGAAATGGAATCATCAATTGTAATTGTCGTTAAGAGACCAACCTACTCCTGTACTGACACATTGTTTATTAGAGTAGGCGTCGGTTGACTACTAATTTGTGTCCTAATTATCTCGATCAATGAAAGTCTAAAGCTGTGTCAATTTATTTACCACACAACACTATGCCCAACTCCATCAATACTCTTAATGGTTTCACAAAAAGTAGGGGATCATTCGTATGGTTGGTTTCAGTAGTTGCCGATTTTCCAAGGTCATGTTTCATAGCCATTAAGATAGGATTGTTTACTATTTCTGTGGAGATGGTAATCCGTGATAACTACATTTTGCCATCATAACTTGGTACAGCTGGTAATACTGCATCACCCTCCAACCTTTAATCTGATCGTTTTTGTTTTAGTTCTTTGTATCTAACCTGTTCGAAGTGGTATCATAAGATCACTTGAAACAATTATTCCCACCAATATTGCCCGACCAAGTTGTCTTAATGAAAGGTCCAGTTCAACAATTCCATCAAAGTTACGGTCGGGATCATTGTTTATTTTTATCAGGCGAGGTGGTGTTTTAGTATCTGCAAAAAATTTGGTTATAGCTTTTTGATTCGTATGAAGTGTTTTTCGGTTTGTTCACTTTCCCCCTTATGACCTGGTTGGTACGGCCGAGAGTGGATAGAGTTCCATTCTTCCTCTCAAAGTGCTCTCATATGGCCACACCTATATAGCCACTGCCAGTGAATTCCTGCTCACTGCCTTCACGCGTTGGGGTATTGTTAAGAGGACGGAAAACAAATGTCTGGCATTTAATCCGGGTCGGAGTGTACTGAGGATCCACCTAGAGAAGTTGGAAAACCCTGATTCCAAACCAATGGTGCACATGGGCTCCATGATCCTAAGGGAATAAATGGCGTATGAAGCAGTCGTTGGCCCCCGGCTACCATGGGACTGCATCTCCTGACGTTGCTCCACTGCTTTGTGAATCAAACCTTAAGGTCAAAGGTTCGGGGAATGACCCCCCAAGAAAAAAATCTGCTTCGGTTTGGTCACTTGGACAGTATTCTAGCTCATATATAAATTAAATGATGAGTGTAGTGCATATATATTTTGGTGCCCTTTCGTACTAATGTTTATGTGTTTCAATAAATAAATAACATTGTATCCATTTATGGTCGTTATCATCAATCTGAATATAATTCTATTCTTTTCACACAATATAGGTTTATCCGATCAAGGATTACTATCATCGCATAATAATCATCATCCATTTTATCAGCATCACCAGCCTTCTGCACTGTCTAAATCTTATGAATAAACAATTAGATACATGTATATGTCTATTATTCAATACATAAATGTATATTTCAACATTGTACAAATGAATGAGCCATATACACAACTTACTACTGGCGTTTACAGTGGCAACAATAGTAGTACTTGTGTACGTGGCGATAGCTTGATCTTATCCGATGGAGAATCATTAGAGTTGTTATTTCTCTATGTGTATCTAATTTATATTTTATTATTCACCCTATTTCTCATCATATATTTTTTAGTATCCTGACAAGAAACAACCAAGTCCCATCATTAATCAATTGATGATAGCAATATTCTCGTTCTTCCATTGTCCATCTTTCTCTTTTATCTTCATCTATACTTTGTTTTTCTCTGTCTCTCTATGCATTGAGAAGAAAGAATGATATTCAATTTCAAGAAATCATGTGGTTGTTGTTGTTGTCGTCATCTCATTGTCATATTCCTCCTCTCTTTCCTTTCTCTTCTTGAATCCTTGTTTTTCCATTGTAATTTTGTTCTGTTTCTCTTCTGTATTCCTGTTCCAACTGACTACTTATCAATGCTCGCTCACCAAGGGTCTTTCACACAAAATCCAAATTACCATTATCCTTATTTGCTACTATTTAGTCAATTTTGTAATTTCTCCTTACATATATACAAGATAAAAAACTATGCATTATTATTACTATTATTATTATTATGATATTTGACCTCCGCCTTGCTGACAATATATCTCCAGTTGAATAACTGTGAAACTCAAGAATAAATGGATACTATCTTGGGTTTTTGTTGTCTTCATCAAAAGTCAAGCAACACTCTAATAGTAACACTCCTTAAAGTTTCCAGTTTAGGATATGGTCTATATGATTATTCATTGTAGAAGTACCTTGTTATTTTTAGTATTGTTGTAAAAGTGCTTTCTCGTTTTTATGGATGAATGAATGACTTTTTTTAAACATTGTATTCCAATCTTATCTTTCCCCTTTGTCCAGGGTTATTTCGATACTGAAACAATATTGAACCCCAAAGTGATGGTCACTGTGTTCTCATTTTTGTACTATGTTCCATTTTTTCTTTCGCTTAATTTTCTTATATACCGCAAGAATCATTCAACAACAATCTTCTTTTACATGGCTCCGAGTTTTCTTTTTGACACCACCATCCTGTGTGTACCCATGTTTGTATGTGGGAAGGAAAAGAGAGAGTTTCACTCAAACCACATACACGGTACATGTTACTATCATCAAATTATCAAGATAGACCATTTAAATATTTACATTAGTAGTAGTGATCAATTATATCTACCTATTTTGATTATTATTATTATTGTTATTACTGGAATTGTTGTACTTTTGGTTTTTATGTCATGTGTGTATGTGAAGCACACTAGTTCGGTTTGTACAGAAAGAAATAAAAACGTCCGTTACTGTTTGTGACGATGGTCTCCATTGGTTTGTGTAGTAATACAATAAACCCTATCGGGTGTGAGGCACTTATTCGCCGAAGTCAGGGGAAGATTGGCAATACCGTGGATTAATTGAAGTTATACATTAACAGCGTTGCATCCCAGATTAAGTGTCCACGCGCGAGACCGGAGGTGCTGGGTTCGATTGGTGGGGCTCGCGGATATGAACCTCTGAGCAGTCCTGTACCATTAGGAAGCCCGCTCAGTGCTTCCAGATTTTTAAGGGTGTTCAAAAAGATTATCCCAATGACATTGGATAGTACGGATGCGCTAGACAAATACCTTGCTAGCCAACTTGAAGTTCTTTCAATATTGAACTGTTTTTATAATATTTGGCTTCTCAATCGTTAGGCAGCAGTAGGTTTAAATCCCACTACACCACCTACTTCAATTTAGATGAATATGTAGTACTATTAGGTCTCACTAAAACATCATAACTCAAAGCATAGTACATTGAAATGTGTATCTGATCTTAGACAAGATGACACATGTGCATTTTAACAAGTTATCCTACCATAGCGAAATGGAATTATCAAGAAAAATACCAAAATGGTAAGAGTCCTGATGGTAGTAGAAAGCATTAGATATTAGCAGAACGATTCAAGATGAAGTGTAAGGTAATTTAATTTAAGGCTAGACAAAGGGTGAATATATCTGCACCCTTTCGACGGTGTGTGGACCCTGTTACCTAAAGTCTTCAAACAATGGTCACGATAAATACACGGACCCACCCAGGTATTTTGAACCTTCCAAAATCCCTCAATCAGACAGTCAATTATTCCATGAATTGATACTACGTTTTAGTTTAATTCCCTCTATTTCTCTTCCAACCTACTCTTACGAGTTATGATCGCTTGTTGAAGTAACGGTTGTTCGTAGGTATCTAATGCATGTCTAGGCTAAGTTATTCGATAGCGTTCAATATCCGTACTTGGTAAATGAGCTGCATTCACAGCAACCTTAACAATCACTTCTAAGTGTGCTCATCAGATGATGAATCCAACTCATGAAGAATTATTTTTATAGATTTGAGTTCAGTAAATTAAATTCTGGCAAATAAAGAAGACATTTGGTTTTCTTAAAAAATTAGATAGTTGGGAACTCCCGGTTTATATTTTAAGTTTTGTGGGTGTACTGTCTGTTACTAAAAGTAAATCAAGTCGTACCTGCATTTAAAAGTTGTTTGATTGTTCACTTGTGATTTAATAAACTTTATAGTTTAACACATTGTGTTGAGTATATTTCTCGTACGGGCGGGCCGTTTTCTGTTGTAGCGGTAAATAAATCCCCAAAATAAATAGCTCTGTAAGTTTTCGACATTGGATGCTGACCAGATTAGTTTTAGTGGACTCACCTAGCTAAAGACGCTCGGTCATGCATCCGCACCAGATCACGTGTGGGAACGCCGTGCTCAACATCTACTGCAATCGCTAGCCAGACTAGATCAGACAATTCCGATATATTGGCAATCGTCAAATACAACTTCTGATCTCCTCGATTCTGTCTTTTGATTTCTCTTGGTGGGTACGAGTTACATTAGGTGTTATCGGTAAAAGCGTCGCCAAACACTGAATACCTGTGCCATCTTCACTGTTATCCCACGGCCTATCAAATATCACGTGACAAAATTGCTAATATTTTATTTATTTGAACACAAATGTTGGTACAAAGGGGCAGTGAATACATATGCGCCACATAAATCGCTTGATTCGTGTGTGGGCTATGATACTGCCTCGGTGCCCAGACCGAAGAAGGTGGTTTCCTAAGGGGGCCACTCCCCAAAACTTTCACCTAAAGGTCTGATCCACAAGTCAGTGGAGCAACGTAAGGAGATGCAGTTTAATAGTAGCCGGTGACTAACATTTGGTTCATACGCCATTTTTTCCTGCAGCCATATGCATCATTGATTTGGAATGAGGGTTTTCCAACTGCCCCAGGTATATTCTCCGTGTCCACCAACCCGGTTGAAGTGTCGGACATTCGCTTTTCATCCTCTCAATTTCCTCAAAAACATCTCTGGTGTGAGAAGGCAGTCAGTAGGACTTCCCTGTCAGTAGTTGTATATGCGTGGCCATATGAGTGCATTTGTAGATGGAGGCCTGAATCTTCTCACCCTCAGCTGTACCAGGGCTTTTGGGGGCAATCGCTGATCAGAATACCGACTTATACTATCTTGACCCTGTACCAAACCAACGGTGCATCAATCAGTACTAACAGCATTGAGTTAACTCTGAACCCTTATTGGTCCTCGATGTGGCTAGAAGCTTCTCGTCCAGCGCAGGCCGTCCAGACTAGAACAAAAATATCAGCACCCATTCTATGAATCATATATTTTAGACATACGTAGTTTATATACAAGCAGGCCAGACCACATCACTTCACGAAAAGAAATATAATCATTATACAAGATCAAGCCAAAAGTAGTTGTGAGTATAGGAGACTGTAACTAACAAATTAGGAATAAATCAAGAATGGTATATTGTATAACAGCAGTTACTTGATATTTATACGGTACGAATATATACAAACATTCTATAAATAACTCCCTAGCAGTTGCCATTAATTTATTCTTCAGATATAACGTTTTCTATATGAAAGGATCTACATTTATGAATCCTTTTTGTTTTACATTTCTTGACTAAACCGTATGAAACCTGCGTTTGTCAGATCTTTTCAAACGATAAGGTATATCGTGTCAACGCAACTATATTCATGTATCAGTCTGTTTTCAGAAATACCTTAGATGATATTCGTCAGTTGCTTCGATCCTGTATAAATACCTAAGTTAACGCAACTATATTCTCACAATGTTTTTTGATGATAGTTGAGAGCTATACTTTTCTAGTCGATTCAAATCCCATAGTGTTAGAGGTAGTAAAAGTATAAGCAGTAATCGGACACATTAGGGTTTAAGGATATTATTCAAGGAGTATAATCCAGTGAAATAAATTTGGAAAGAGAAAAAACCACTTGTTTCGGTATGGGCACCCGGGCAATATCACAGCCCACACACGAATCAAGTGATTTGTGTAGTTCATATGTATTCAATACCCCTTTGCACCAATATTTGTGTGTTCAAATAAATAAAATAATAATAGCATATTCTAAGTAGAATTGAGCTTATTCCAGTAGAATTTTAACATCATTTATGAAATAATTTATATCTAATGAGAGGAGCATTCAATTAGAAGACGTAGTAGTTACCTCTTGTCCATCTATTGATATTAGGAATATAGACAGACAACTAAAAGGTAATGATTGGTAAAATTTCATAATCCTTTTTATTTAAATCCAGATCATCTCAGAATCTTTAGTAACAGTAAATTTTGATCAATCTACGGTCAATAACCATATTTACATACATTCAATTGATCAGATCATAGAAACTCAGTCAGTCAATCAATCAGTCATATGGTCATGGGTCATTAGAACAAACTATTAATCAATAAGAATGAAAAAACATGAATTCACTGAAATCTGTTTCATTTAACCATTGATTATATTGTGCAGAATGATACTGAAAACTTCTCAAACAAACTGTCTGGGTTAGAGAATGTTACATCATAAAACATGTAACATATCGTTGACCTTTTTCGTTGTGATAGTAGTGGTAGCTTTAGGAATATGTATTTCTTTTGAAAAAGATTAGTTACATAGTCCATTCGATGTTATGGTTCTAACGAATTTCTATAAATAAGAAAATTATATTCTAATAGTTGAGATCATGAGTCAATTGAAGTTAGACCACCATGGAAAACCTGAAAGTACTTGACGACTGTTTCGTTCTATTGTAGGACTCCTCACTAGTGTGCATTCATGATCCAGCCTCGTGAGATTCAAACGCATGATCTGTCGGTCTTGCACGCGAACGTTCGAGGCAGAATCGTGGATGCGCACTGCTGAGGAGTCTTACAATAGGACGAAACGGCTGTATGGTATAATACAGTTACTATTAAGTAACTAGGTTATATATATTTATATTTCCTTTATAATAAGCTTTTATTTGACCTATTGACTACTATTATACGATTTACTATCCACCCTTTCTCTTTCTTTTGGTGATCGACTGGATCAAGAAAATGTCAACATTTGGGAGGAAGCATAGGATACAGTGGACAGCTAGGATGAAGCTGAACGATCTAGACTTCGCAGATGATCTGGCCCTTCTATCGCACACGCAACAACAAATACAGGAGAAGACGACTAGTGTATCAGCAGCCTCTGCAGTAGTAGGTCTCAACATACACAAAGGGAAAAGTAAGATTCTCCTATACAACACACCATTCAGCAATCCAATCACACTTGACGAAGGAGATTTCGAAGATGTAAAAACATTTACATATCTGGACACCATCATTGATGAACACGGTGGGTCTAATACACATGTGAAGGCCCACTTTTGGACTTGGTCCTGTATAATTATTATTTTCTATTTTATGATATGATTTAGTCTGGTTTACTGATATAAAATCTACGTAATATGATTCACATAGTGGAAGCAGATATTGGTATTCTGGACTGAACAGGTAGAGCTAAACAAGAAGGACCGATAAGAATTCTAGGTTGTTCGTACCTGTCACACACAATTGGTTTGGCACAGTACTAAGATTGTATAAGTCGTGTTCTGTTTGATGATCATATCACACGATCCAATCAACAGGCCACAGGTCATAACAATATGAATTATGAATTATTATTAACATAAATATAGAATGATTGAGACTGAGACTTAGAAGGTTATATATTGTTATTCACGATTATCAATTTTATGCACTTAAACACTTGTATATATTAATTTAGTAATCTGATCAAAATTATCGCGATCACTATCAGTTAACAGACAAAGTATCATCTTCGTACTTAGTGAGTTGGATTGGCAATTCCTGACCGCATACTACCTACTTCTTTTCGGACAGCGTGTGAGTAATTCATAAATTCTCAGTATGTAGTTAGAAGTTGTCTGTTTGCTGAGTTGTTCTCTGTTCTGGCTATTAGATGGGCAGACATAGGAAATTACACTATGAACCAATGGTCATTGAGTCTTATTCTCACCTATCATCCTACATTTCGTGTACTTTTGTTTAGCAAAAGTTCATTGGTACTATATAGCTAGTCTATGCGAGCTAATCAATACTCGAACTAGGTCAATCCAACTGCTCTCCTGTCTTACGGTCTGATCTCATGGATCCAAATA